ATATCGATTAACATATCCTGTTGCTATGCTAAGGATTTATCTCATTATCTATTATAGAAAGAAATCTTTTTTTATTCTGTATTTTTTTGGAAATATAAGGATTCTGTTTATGTTTATTTGTTAATAGAAAGATATAGTAATTTCTCAAATTGAAATAATAGCAAAGATCAACGATTAACGAATGATGGCGTTTCTGATGATGCTGCAAGGAGAAATGGCAGACTTTTGGACTTTAAGTTACTTATGCTACTTTGAAGTACTTCGAGCTAATTTTTGCTACTTTAAGCTACTTCGATCTACTTTCAAGTGCTTATAGTCACTTGAAGTACTCTGGACTACTTTGACCAAACCCCCCTGATATTATGACATCCCCTAATAGAAGAACCCCCATAGTGGAACACCCCCACGATGATATTTTTTGCGAGAATTGTGTGTATTTTGACAGGATTTTAGCAGAATTTCGACTTAGTTCGACGGGTCATAATAGAAGACCCGGGGTCTTTTACTACGCCGGGTGAGCGGGAAGGAGTTTACTTTGAGCTCGAAAAATAGAACAAAACTGTCCTATTATGAAAATCTTGAGAGTGGGTGGGTGTCTCTTCTTTTATTTCACATTAACCCCACACCCAAACACCCACATCCTAGTTGTTGTTTTTCTGTCTTTCTATAGCATGTACTGTCTCTTCTCAATCAACCTGGTCACAAACTGCTACTACTGTATTTGGCAGCCCAACAGGTGCATCAGGCTCTACCCTTTCACTTCTTAATTCCCCAATTGGAATGTATTATGACGAACCTAACAATACGTTAATCGTTACGGAATATGGAAATAAACGTATCCTACAAATTTCTCTCAATGATTCTCCTTCAGTTGGAACAGTAATTGCTGGAGGAAATGGTGCTGGTTGCAACATGCGTCAATTTACGACTAATATTGGAGTAGCTCTTGATAGTTCCAGTCAATTGTATGTATCAGATGCAGGCTGCAATCGCGTCATCAGATTTCCATCACGTTCAACTCCGACGATATCCGGAACACTTTTCGGTAATATATCTGACTCACAAGATCTGTGCATAAATCCATCGACTGGCGATCTATATGTAGTTAGCTATGTTGATAATGCGGTATACAAGTTTGTGAATGGTAGTGGAACGCCAGTGGTTGCAGCAGGTATATAATGTTCTTTCAAAGATATCTTTTGTTTAATAATGGTTTTATTTTCTTATATAGGTGGCAATGGTTATGGAAATGCCTTAAATCAGCTTGCGGGTCCAAATAGTGTTTACTATGATTATTTATACACACATTCTTTGTATGTTACCGATAATGATAATCACCGTGTGATGAAATACCCATCAGATTCAACGAGTGCCACTAATGGAACAGTTGTTGCTGGAGGTAAAGGAGCTGGAAGTGGAGCGAATCAATTCAATAGACCAAGAACTGTACTGGTCGATAGCCAGGGCACTCTCTATATATCTGATGGAGGTAAGAGAAGTTTTAAGAAAAGAAAATATTCTATAGATTAAACAATCGCGTTTGACTCTCTTTTATATCTAGATAACAATCGTGTTCAACGTTGGCTGCAAAATGCAACTAATGGTACTACAATCGTCGGCGGTGATAAAGCAGGAACATCATCGAATCAACTCAAATTTCCTGAAACGATCCTCTTTGATAGATATGGTAATCTATTGGTCTCTGATAGAGGAAATAATCGAATACAAAGCTTTAAGATAACAACATGCTAGTATATAAAGACTTACTACTGATCATTATCGTTAATAGAGTAAAACTTTAAAGAAGCTTGTTAATGTTATTGACTTTTTCTTGATTTTTGATAAGTGTTCAATCTTAGAACATGTCTCTTTCTTATATAATATCTTCGCTTGCATGTCGTCATCTTTTTTTGTGTTTGTTTTCTCATATTATATCCTGAATGTCCATAATCATATATAAATATACATGCGTTCATTCGTCTTTTGCTATATTTCGTTGCGCTTGATGTCATTGTGATTGTATTTGCATGCTTATACATTTAAAATAAAGATAAAAGTGATTACTCAAGAAATCTTCTTATAACTGACTGTGAGTTCAATCCATAGAATTACAGTGATATGAATTATGAAATTATGGTCTTTGTCTATAAAAATACAAATATTATATATGATCTCTGAATATAGAAGTAAAGAGTGATATTAAATCATTCCCATAAAATAGAAACATCGTCAGTAGAACTATATTACCTTGGTGATTCGAAAGCTTAATAAATATCTTGAGGGTGAAGGTGTGGGCCTTAGTTGAATACATGATTTCATCCACATTCAACACATCCACACTCACACCCTTAAAGAGGATTTTCAATACTGCCATAAGATAGCCCATCGTCGATAGTATTTGTGTTAAAAAAATCTCTTTTCTTACTATTATCATTGTAGAGAAAATGAAAATTTAATCGGAAGAATCACTCTAAAGAATCCCTCAAATATACCCAGTCTCCTCTCACTTGTGGTAAAGATATCTCCGGAATAGCTTAGCCATTTAAGCTAAAATTTTCAGATTATTCCTACAACACGTATGCCTAACTGCTGTAAAAATATGAGCCAAATCAGTGACATTCATTAAGCAACGTTTTGCTGCAATCGGTCTTGGCTTAGGTGCAGTGCCTCTTAGAAATCAAAATCACTAGCTCAACGAAGGAGATTGAGATGGATTTATTGAGTTTTTTTCTCAGAAATTCACAATTAATTAAACGAAGAAATAGTTTGATTTTTTAAATTGAAAGAAACAATGAAAAAAGGCAAATAAATGTAACAGTAAAGTTCTAATTGAATAAATGAATTGTCGAATACAACATGTCCTTATATTCTTATGGATTGGTTTTGAACAGTTGCAAAGCGAGTATTGCCGATAGAGAACGGCTGTACTTGGTTTCGTCCTCTTCGAATATTCACTGATAAATTAGTAAATATTGCCCAAACCTGTTCCCGGAATCGTTTCGAAGATACACAATAACAATAAAATGAACTCTAAAAGGTACAAACAAGCCAATATATATATATATTTATGATCAAGAATATTTCTAACTTACGGAAAAGGCACCATAAAAGTAAATCGAAGAAAATGTAGACACTACATTTTCTTGAGCAATCCGAGAAGATGTTTTAGCAATACTAGTTGTTAGTAACGCATATAATTGAATAATGCCATAGGGAGCTACGAACAAAATAACAATGACAATATTGTACATCGACATTCGTGTCATTTGTCGAGAGAGTGTAGATAGTGTACGTCGTTGTTGTTGTTGTTGTTTATTCAACGAATGTATATTGTAGTAAGTGAGTAGACCAAATATGGAAATTACTGCAATTGGAATAATGACATAAAGACAAAGATTGAGAAAATAAGTTTGATATTGATTATAAGCTGCATTTATTGTAATGCATGAAGTAGCTCCTGATGCTGATGTGACTATATCTTGAAAGAAAAGAAAAGGTGTTGAATGAAGAAAGCCAAAGATGAAAATGCCAATCAAGATAAGACGTGCATATTTGATGTTGCTCTTCTGACGCAGCGTGGCAGATGGAGAAGAACACAGAAATACATCGATTGACTGCATAGCAAGTAAACTAAATGAGATAACATTATTTGTCGGAATCCAACAACGTCTTATTTTGCACCAGGCTCGATTAGTAAGTGACCAATCAATTTGATAACCTGCAGATAAAATACGTGTACCAAGACCAACGAGCAGAGCACTTGATTCGAGCATTGCTTTAGTAAGCATGTAAAGTGAACAAGGATTTTGTTTGTAATGACCCAGTGAAAAGAAGGTAAGCATATTAAGAAAATTCCCAACCAGACCAGTGACAAACAAGAAATACCCAGATGATAAACTAAGATAACGGGATATATTTTGAAGCTCAATGATAAACGATGCACTGCTACTAACAGTACTGTTTGATGCCATTTGAATGAGTTCTTGAAAATGTGTGACTGAGATTCTAGAGAGCGACAATGAAGTATAATTTTTATATAGAAATATCAATGTATTTTATTTCATTGAACGTAGGTATAGAGAAACAGTGTCATTTTTCTTTATCAAAGAAAGCAACAGTATCACATATTAAATTACTTTGAGGATAAGAAAAAAGCGTCGGATGATCATAATAACTCCACTCGATTAAATGCTACATTATACGAGGTCGGTACAAACTCATTATTATATCTATTTGGAATTGGACTGTTTCTTTTTCTGCGATAAAAGGACTATCAATGACTAAGACACATATTTTCTAATGCTTACTTGTATAAAATATCTCAGTTTAATAAATGTAGCAAATTATCTTTTTCTCTTACAGTTCTCTTAATTTATAAGACGAGCATATTGTTTATATAAATATTGAATTCAGAATATCTTGTGGCTAAAAAGAGAAATATTATTCCAAGTATGTCAAAAGAACGTCTAAAGATTAATATCATTTTTAATTATTATATGTGTTATGGCGTATTTCATCAGTAGCATACTATTTTATGTCAGACTGACTAAACTATTAATCTATTTTTTTTATAATATAAAATTTTCTGATATAATACCGGTGCACATATATTAAGATCATTTTACCAGAGTATCCTAGTAGCAGATCAGTTGCATAGATAATCCGCTAGAAATTGTCTTAGTAGATGCGTACCTTGAACTTAGTACTCTGATTTACTTACCATTTCATAAGAAAAGAACTCAGTTATATAGAATTTCTATATTTTCTTTTAAGATAGCATGTATATCTAAGCTATTTTCAATAAAAACAATGTATGTGAACTAAAGATAAATGTTGTTTTTGTCACATTCTCTTCTACAAAAATATAAAGAAAATAATGAAAAGATAAAACTATAAAGTATAACTATAGAATGCAAACTTATGAAAACATATTATTTCTTAATTATGATGTGATGTAATGTGCTCAGCTATACAGAAATAGGTTATTTATTCTGGGAACTATCTATAGAAAAATCATATAACCGATAAAAACTCGAACAATTTTATGCCTTAACTATTTTGATGTTATTTTTCAAAAGAACATTTAATTTCATTGTGAATAATTTACTTATCTAACGAAATGAATTAGTTGAAAAAACGCAAGCAGCTGTTAGAAAATGCTTTAGTAAGCTTATATTATCTGAATAGGTTTAACTCACTGTAGTTGTATGCGTTAAAGAAACTTGAAACAACTCATTATTTAATACCAATAAACAACAGTGATTCCGGTGGACACCTTTATCAGAAAGGAAGATCGCATTATCTTCTATATGACATAAAAAAATAATGCCGCATGGTATATATATATATACATTATTCATCGTCGCACTCTTTCATTTAAATCACGTTGTCAAAGGCGATTTCATTTCCTGAAGGCTGTCATTAACAAACACACATGAAATCATTTTTTTGATAAGTAATGTTAAAAAAGTTTGTTTGTCGTTGACATTTTTTAATGAATGATTTAGACGATTCCATATCATAAAGAAACTGTCTCTAACAAACAATTCTTAATTAATTCTTTAATAATAAATTATATTTTCCTGTTATAAACATATCTCTGCGCCAGAAAACTTTATGCGTAATTCAAAAGAAAATAATGGAATAAAATCGAGGTTATTTTTTCTTGAAAGCAGGAACAGAATAACTTTGTATAGGTGATAAAATGAAAAAAATATTTCGAACTGAACAAGATTAAAATATTAATAGAAAACAAAAGAGCCCACAATTTTACTGAATTTAATGATCTGTCTTATTTTTAGACCACTTTTCATCTTTTATGAGTTATTTAACTAAAAATGAATCAATGATAGACACGTTGAAAATAAAATAATTGAGTAGAAAGAATGTATTTTTAACTGTTGCATATAATATTCACACCCACACATACCCTCAGTCATTTTTATCTCTTATTATTAAGAATGTAAATTAATTTCTAGAAAGATTTGTTCATGATCGGTAGGCTAGATTATTATTTATTAAATACAAAAATCCAATTAAATAAAAAAAATACTGAGCTTGATTATAAATAAAAACTGCTAGAATAAAAATAAAAAATATTCATATATGAAAAATAAGTTGTTTATGTAATATATACAAGATTCAGCGAATACATATTTAATAATAAAAAGTCATATTAAACTTCCAATGCTTTCATTGTATCAGTGATTTTATCAACAATATACTAAATACATAAATAACGAGTTAATTAAATAAATATAATTTCGTGCAAAACATACTCTTGCTTCTGCGACATTATCATATGGAATAACTACCATATATAAACTATTTCTTCTCGGTATTCCAAGGTGATGCATTTCCTAAAAAATGTTGTTTAAATATTTAAATGTTAAAAATCAAAATGTTATAATTTACTCTTAACATAAATTCAATATGATTTGGATTGAATTTAACTGTAGGTGTTCCTTTGATATCTTTATAATGATGATGCCAATCGATTATATAAATAGATGATGATGGAGATTTTTCAGTTAAAAATAAAACTCGTCTAAATATTCACAAATAAGATAAATTTTGTTTTTTCAAATAAAATCAAAATATTAACTTCGTAGTTGCAAATAACCAACCAGGTACATGACCAGGACAATCAATATGAGCGATATACTTTTCCGTTAGACCATGTTTTTCATCATCAAGTTTCTAAAAGAAAGTATATCTTAGTAGTGCATGGTAGTTTTTCCGTCTAATGATTTTTTAGTTTTTATTTCTTCTGCAATAACCTTGTCGCTGATACTCCGATGTGTTATGAAAACGAAAGATGTTGGAAATATTCTGTTTTCTATACTTCTTACAAAGGAAATTAGCCGATAAAATCCTATATTTAGTCCTTACAATAATGCTAAAATTATCTAATCAAATCTAATTAGTCGAGAGTTTTTTTCCCTGTTAGCTATGAAGATTAAAGTCGGATTTTTCTTTTCTATTTCAAACGGCTAAATATAGTTTGTAAGAATTCTCGTTCATATGGTGTGTGTAATAGTATATTTTTGGTAATATTTACATCGAAAATATAACATCCTAACATTTCGTGAGCAGTTGATGGTCTAACAATTCCATCTCTTCCAATATGACGTGGATGTCTTATACGATGAATAACTTCTTCATGTGCTGCAACTCTAGAAAATAAATTATTAAAGAATTTTTATTTTAATTATTATTTTACAGATCTTACTTTTTAATTAATTTAAATGAAGTACTTGTTAAATCAGCAACACTACTAGCAGGTCTTCCAACAAGACCAAGAAAACCTTTACCTAAACCTTTAACAAAACCTTTTCTACCATCGAGTTTTGCGCCTCTTATCGGTTTTTTAACAACACCTGTAACACCTCTAACAATATCCTATTTTAAAATAAAAGTATTATAATTAATCAGTAAAGACAAAAAAAGTTACTTTAAAAGTATTTTTTCCACCTGAAATAAGTTCAGGTGTTGTTGGTGATTGTAATTCTTTTCTTTGTATACGTGCATTTTGATAATCTTTATCTAATGTTAATGTAGCTAACGCTTTACTTGTTACTCCAGTTACTTTTGCAAATGCACCAGCAGTACCACCAACAACTGAACCTAATAAATATCTTGTACCGATTGCTATACCTTCAATAAATTCAATTGGACCTTCCATAGCACCCTTTTTAATAAATAAAACTTTTTATTTTTAAAAATCATCTTTTCATTTTACTTTATATGGTTCATAAAAAAATGATTCAACACCATGAGCAACTCCTCTTATAACACCAAAGGGATTTCCAAGAACATCGAGACCAAGTACAACAACATGTAGTTGTTTTAAAAATTGATTTTGATAATGATCACCAATTTCTTTTGTTAATCTGTCTATTGAATATCGATCATTTTTTCGTTCATAAAAATTTAATCTAAAATATTTTTTATTTATTTTTTTGATGTTAGTAAGGAATTGAAACATACTTTAAAACAACATCTTCTACTTCAGCAACATTCAACATTTGTAATAAGAAATCAACTAATGGATGTTCAGCTAATAATTGTTCACTTGGTTTTGCACCATGCATTGAAAAACTTACATGAATCTATTTAAAATATTACAAGTAACGCTAGTCCGAAGATTCGCTTAGCTCTTTCTCGTAGAAATGCATCATCTTCACATTTACCAGAAAAACAATTGAAAACCCTACTCTTAGCACATACTCGCATCCTACTCAGTAGTAAACACAGATAAGAACATATTAGAAGTGACGTGTTAATAATCTTATCTGCACTACAAAAAGGGGAACATTTCGATACCCATAAAAATACATTACCCAATGAGGCGCATGTTTGAAGTCTCTGCATCGAAATACCTCAAGAAATGTTTTTTTGACCCCGCGGACATACAAGCAGATAGTTTATGTTTGCAAGACTTTTCTCTGCGAGAAAGAGAATATATGAAGTGTGAATTACCTTCAATGGAGATAAATGAAGATTATCAAAATAGATTTGTGTTTCTTGTAAACCTTTATTTGTTTCACCTTTAAGTATTGTTTCCAACGGTTTATCTATACGTTTTAAATCTAAATCCATATCAATTGTTGGTGCTGCCGGATTCTAAAAAAAATATTTTTTTGGAAATATATTTAATTAATAATACAATAAATTCAAACTTTTGCAGGTTTAACAAATGCCATTATAGCTAATATTAAACCTTGATCAATACAAATGAAAAATTCTTGAATTAATAATTTGAAATATCTAAATAAATATATTTATAAAGAAATATTTTGTGTTGGAATTAATTACTTAATATGTATTGTATTTGATCGAATCGATTCATTTTTAAAAACACTCAATTCAATAAATGGTTTTCCAGCTAAAATAAAATATTGAATTTTTTTCTAAATAAAAAAATTCTTACGAATATTTGTTCCGGCAGCTTTTGAAACAATTGGATAAAGAATTGTTGGAAACATTGTTATTTGAAGTTGATTATCAATTTGTAATTGATTAACTCTTAAATGAACAGCCATATTACTTGTTGACCATGCATAGCCAATCCATAAACCATCAAGTGTTTCTCGTTTTATACGAACAACATTACCTTCATCATCACTTATTTCCGCATTATTTTCGTTAAATGATACATACTTAATTAATTAAACATTCTCATTTAAAAAATAAGAAAAGACTAATATACTCTTACGCGGTTCTTATCAAGTTCATATCGATTTTCAGCTTGTTTATCTTCATGTTCTTTTTGATATTTTTTATACTGATGATCTAATTGATGATTAATTTTTTCCGGCAATGGTTTAAGACTAAAATTCTTTGTTTCTGTCCATATATCTTTTGTTTGATTAATAGTTATATAAAATAAATCATCACGAGTTATATCATTAACGATCGATATACCAATATCACGAAATGCTATTTGAATATATTCATTTATTGATTCACTCATCGATGGTTCCTAAACAATTATTATTCTTTTTCTCGTCTTTTGATTTTAAAAATCAAATCTTACATATGATACTGATTCAATAATTGATGTATCACGAGAAAACATTAATACTGTTTGAGGACCATCATGAAATATTGCATAATAAACAGGTTCATCACTTTCTTTGTCAAGAACACCACAAGCAGGCTGAAATGAATATAATCAATCATATCCTTCTTCTATAAATAACGAAAAACTTACATTAAATTGTACAGTTATATTTTGTTGATTTGAAGAAACAACTAATTCTCTTGGTTTAAATGGATCATTCCATGTATAATAAACATAGTATTGCGCAGGTAAAACTTGTGTTCGTCTAAGAAAAATAAATGTATTCTATACATAGATTATTAATATATACAAATCTTCTTTTTGACAAAATGCAATTGATTGATCAATTAAAGAATTAACAATTAAAATTGGTGCATCACCATTTTTATAATCACTAAAAATAACTTTATAACCATCGAAATCATTTATAGTAACTTCAACATGTAGTGCTGGACGTTCTTGATCATTCATACGTAATAATGTTCGATGTTTATCTTTTATTGAAAACCAACTTGATGTTGTAGTATTATCATTATATCGAACATACATAACACCTGCTTGAATATAACGTGGCCAATATGGTAATATCTTTTTTTATAAAAAAAAAAACAAATTTAAAAAAGAAAACGTTTTTTTTGTCTTTTATACTTGATTAGATTGAACTAATTTCCAATTATCTTCTATTTCAGATATATCTTCAGTTATTTGAACATCAACCTATATTTATATAATAATAAATTATATATAGATTCATAATAAAATATTTTATACAGATGAATTATTGATAATAGCTGTTGATGGTGTAAGTGTAATGATTTTGGTCATACCAAATGAACAAGTAACGATATCAATACAAACCTTTTGTAAATAAATTATATAGGAAATATAAAATAAAAAGAATTTTTACCATATAAGTTCTATCATTATGTACTGTACATGCTGTCATTCCAGTACTTTTAATAACACCAACTGAAAAACCTTCGGACCATTGTGAAACATTTTCATCTTCTTCTATACTATATAAACGTATATGTCCTTTTTTTTTAGTTGATTCACTATCAAATTTCCTTGGACAACCAAAATATGGTTGATCGACAGTGTCAATAAATGTTTTATCATGTTCAATCTAAACACAAGAATTATAAGGCAAATGTTTTTTTGACCTTTTCCTTTGAAGTTATAGCAGTGGTGGATTTAGCGGGGTGGGGGGTGATCGCCCCTCCTTCCGAATTTCTTTTGATTTTTTACAGCAAAACCGAACGAAAAAATAGGTTCATACTACTTCGATTGGACTCAACAAATAGCTTTTAGCCAAAATCGCCCCCTCCCTCCTCAGGTATCGCTCTCCTCTTTCGAAATCCTAGATCCGCCACTGAGTTATAGTCATTCTATTTACAAATAAAACAAACCTTAAATTCAAACTTGAGATCAGTCGCATTAACAATCCAATATGGAGAATACAATGATGTACGATATGATTCTCTATATGTGTCAACACGTAAGACCATTCTCTATATACATATGAATTTGATTTATTTTAGTATAGAAATATTTTATCTTACTAAAAATTCATTTGTTGAATTATTATTAAATTTAATAATATGTTCATTATGAATCCCATGTCCTTTTACATTTAAATCAATAGGTTCTGATGTCCATGATGAATTATTATATAATGGAATCTATTCAAAGAAAGAAAGATTACTATTTCAATCTCAAAAAATATTTAAAAGAACATACTGTAAATATAAGAATCGATTTTTTATTTCCTTGTGTACTATGATATAATTCACTTGGTTTAAGTTGTGTACTTTCAATATTCTATTAGATATAAAAATAATGAAGTTTAAAAAAAATTCTAATCAAATGAAAAACAAACATCAATTGAACATTGAATTGGAATTGGTAGAAGATTAATTAAATGAAGAGCTAATTTAACATATATATTAAATGATTTTCGAGTTGGTTCATCTGTATTTTCTGAATATGCTTCGATTTCTTCTTTGTATACCTTTATAAAAAAATATGTTCTTTTGTTAAAAATTTTAAAATAATCAAAAACATACAACATAATGAGCTTGTCGTCCATCATTTAATTTCAAAACTCTATCAGCCGAGGATTCATTAGCCCAATCAAATGAAATAAAATCATTTATTTCACCATCGGAATCATCTCTAAATATCAAAATAAAAATCTCTTTTATAAGCACATTTTCTATCTATACAAATAAAAACATGACCCTCTCGTCGCATAATTTCGTTTGTATCCTCACCCTAATCTTTCTTATTGATGTGATCTAAACTACTAAGCTTGTTTTAAGACTTTTTCAAAAACTTACTCTTGAATAGCAAAACAGAGACGTGGAGTTGCTCTTAAGTAAAGAAGTTGAATTGGAAGATAATATTCTTCATTAACATCAATTTTGATAATACGATTAAATTTATTTGTTTCAATAGAATCAGCATCTAATATAATTAATGGCATTAATGTTCGATTGGAGACCTTTAATAAAATAAAATAAAGCGATAAATTTAATTTTTTTTTTCAAATACTTTAATAATCGAACTAAGAATAACTCTTCGTCTTTCTTCATAAAGATGTGAATCACAAAGTATTTGAATTGGCCAATTTGGAATTAATGAATCACTTATTTCATAAACTCTTCTCCATGTTTGATTAATATCGATTATTAAATCTTTTTCACTGATCTAAATTCATCAAAAAAAATAAACTTAAACAAAAGATAAATTATCTCTCTCACATGAACTTGAAATTGTTGTTTTCTTTTAGCAACTTGTTCAGCAATAGCTGGAAGATGAGTTGCAGATAATCTTTCTGCTGGTATTGTTAAACGAAGCGTTTCTTTATTTTTTAATTTGAAACTTTTTTCATCCGAATTATTATCATCATCAGTAAACTTAAATAAAAAATTAATATTGAGTGAATTTAAATCAATATATATTAGTGGCGCAACCAGGTTATGACATGAGTGGATGCCGCCCACCCCTAATTTTTGAAAAAGCGACTTTTTCATATATATATTATATAGTATTTTGAAAATGGACAGGGCGGCGTCTACTAGGGTACGGCGGTTCCAAAAAAATGGAACCGAAAACCAAACCGAAACCGAACCGGAACGGCTCTTTTCTCATTTCTACTGATCGGAACCGGACTGGAACCGCCGTACTCTAGCGCCTACCCACCTGTTAGTTTCTGATTACGCCACTAATGTATATATATATATTGAAATACCTGAACACCAACTATTTGATCAAGTTTAATATTATAACCAGTTTGATTAAGTATTGTTAACATAGCTTGTTCTTCAACAGTATCTGAACTTGAATTATTTTTATAAGCATCATTAAACATTGTTTGTAAACGTTGACTAAGATCAAGACTTGTTTTTGTCAATGTTAAATTTAATAAATGATCAGCACGAATAGAAATAACTTTTTTTATATTCAAACTCATTCCATCTCCTTTAGGACTAGATTTTTCATCTTCTAGGAGAAATCGACACTAAAATAAAAAATTTCGATTTTTAATCAATTTTCAGGGGGAAACAACAGATTTCAAGGAGTTCGAAAGACTTCATGCATGAAGTCTCTGCTGTTTCCCCCTCGATAAATTTACCTTTTCATCATTTTCATCATGTTGATCCTATATTTATAAAAAATAATTAAATTAAATTATTTATAAATTTATTCTTAATACTTCTAAAGTTTCACAACTAATCGTCCATGGACATTGAACAATTCCACGTTCATCAATAATTGGTTCAATTAATGGTTCCCATGCTAATAAATGATCATTGAATAAAGCTAATTCAATTTGTATTACTGAAGATACAAGAATCTACATTTACAAAAATTCATTGATAAAAAATCTAATCTAAAATAATTAATCTTACATTAGTAGACCAATTTTCAATACTAGCATATATATTTGATAGACAAGCAGCAGCAACAGGTCTCGTTGATAAACCTTTGCCTAATTCAAGTTTAATTTCAACTATATTTAAATTAATAGTCAACTAAAAAGAAAGAAAAAATTAAAGATTTTATTTGAAAGATTTCAATACTTGTTGATAAAGATTTTCTTTTTGTTCAATATTTTTTTCTTGTTTTTTTTGTTTTATATCATTTGCTTTATGTGATGGTGAACCTGTTGCTATTTCTAATATATCGGTTTCTTCAATTATTTCGTGTTTTGTCTCAGAATCTTAGAAAAAAGAAAAATATTAAAATCAAGAAGAAAACAACTAATTCCGAAAGGTAAAATCCTAAGGAATTAGAATGATTGAATCAGTTATTTCTAAAATACCTTCAATAAACCAAAAATTTGAATCTTTAAATGGTTTTGGATCAAAGATTATTTTTGAATTAATTCGTTCTTTTTCATCTTTCGAATTTTGCTAAAAGAAAAATCAATTGAATTAAGATTTTATTCTATTAAATAAAAATCTATAATTACTGGTTGTTTTTTAATTGAACTTGATAATTTAGCAAATGTTTTAATAAGAGCTGGATCAATATTAATTGATAAATCTCCAATATTTACATCGATTTTTTGTTCTTCTAAAGTCATCATAATATCAGCATGGATTTGTGAAGGTGATAAAATCTTTTAAATAAATATTGAATTAAAAAATATTTCGAAATACAAATAATCTTACAGAATATTTCACTTTTGAATGTTTTAATTGTTGAAAATTTGAACCATAAAAAGAGAAATTCTTAATTGAAGCGGATATATTTGTATTATCACCAACACTAATCATATGTACTTCAAGGAGTAACTAGGTAAATATATTTTTTAATTTAAAGAAACAAAAATGAACTTCATTGTCTAGTTAACTTACATCAAGTACAAGACAATTTGAATTTTCTTTGTTTTGATCTTCAAGTAAAACTATTTGAAAAGGTTTTACAATGATATTAACATTTGTTTGAGAATTAGATAGAATCGAGTGTGCTGAGGAACCTAAAACAAAGGGTTTTTTTATTTTTACAAGGGAATATCCCTAACTGTCAGACGCCATTCGGTCTCATATATTAGCTACAAGTAGGACATAGTAAGGCTAAAAAAACGGTTAGAGGGTTTGCGCCCATGGTGTATTCTTGATGAAATATCCAGTTCTTAGCGAATTTTCGTTGGTCAAAAACAGTGAGCTCAGAATTTGGAGTTTACGGATGTCTGGTTTTTACCGAAAATCTCAGCTCAGAACTTTAACCGTCTGTTTCTCATTGCTCATATAAATACTCGTGACTACTCTGAGTCGATCGATGTTATTCAAGAAAAAAAAATATGGGGTTAAACGTTGGAATTTGTTGAAATACCACGAAGTCGTAAACTCCAAATTTCAAGCTCACTTTTTTTGACCATTTTCGTTATAGCACCCTACTTTTGTCTTGATACTTTGCCTACATAAAGGCCTCAGCTAGGCTAGCTTACATAAAAAATTTCAAAAGTTTTGAACAAAATCTCGCCGAGATGTAGAACTATCGAAACACAGATCTTTTTTCATAGATAGTATATATAACATGTATTTTTTGATACCTTAATATCTCGAAAAGACTGGTCAAAACTTCTGAATTTTTTTATGTAAGCTAGTCTAGTTGTGGCCAAAGTTTCAAGGCAAAAATTCACTAAAAAATTGATATCTCATCGAAAAACACACCATGGGCACAAACCCTTTTACCGTTCTCTTAGTCTCACTGAGTCCTACTTGTAATCAATATATGGTCTCGGATAGCGTCCGACAGTTGGATATGTTCCCTCGTTAGTAAAAATAATAAAGAAAAATGAAATACGTTGATAGTTGATTGTTGGAGAAGAAGGTTTATCATGTTGATTTGATTGACAATATTTTGATATTGATTTAGCTGGGAATGATATATTTAATTGAAGATCATTTGATACTGATGGACGATATCCGGTTTGTTCAGGTGGCGATATATTATAATTCATAAAATCCATTGTTGAGTTGAGAAGATCAGGACTAATACAAACATAAAAACTTTCCATTTTACAATTAACTAATAAAAATCAATCGAAATATAATCTAATAATTGAAAGAAAAAAAGCCTAACTAACCAGTTTGAATAGATTCATAATTATTCTGTTTTGATTGGATTGTAGCGATTATCAATGGTATATTTTTATCAACATTCTCATTAATATCTATCAGACGTGATATATTCTTTTGTCTAAGATCATCTAATAATAAATGTTGAATTTGTAATTGTCCATTATATGATGAATCGGATAATTGTTGAAAATTGAATTCAATCATTTGAATTGTTAAATAGAGAAATTTCGAATTTTCATCACGTGATATATGATTATCATAAATATTTGTTTGTGAAAGATAGAATGTAAAATCAATTTGTTTCATTTGAAAATCTAATTGAATTATTTTATAAATATTTTTTGTTACTACAGCTTGTTTATTTGGTAATATTATTTTATTTTCATTGCTTTGTTCAACAGGATTTATTTGAGGCATCTTATAAAAACTTAATTCTTGAAAATTTTCTTCAAAAATTTTCATCATAAAAGCATAATCATCTTTTCCTAATTTAAATTCAATTTTATCCCATTGAATTTTAATAGAAATTTGTTCATTAATATCAGAATTTAAATTACGTTTAATTAATGTAAAAAATGATGCACATTCTAATAAATTAATTTTTTCAATACATTGATTTATATCATCGAGAATTATCCGATCAGCATGAAAATTTTCAAATATAATTCTATGTTGTTCAACATCAGATGTATTTGATTCATCTGTATACATAGTTAATTTTCCTAAATCAACAGAAACAGCTTTATTTGAATATGAATTCATTGGAATTATTATTCGTGGAAGATTTAATATAAAATTCATATGAAATTCAAGAGATTCTTCTTGATAGATTTGTAATGTTGATAAAAGAGAATTTGATTGATTTGAAGACGGTTCAGATATTTGATTATTATTATTTTGTATTTGAAATGAATTAATAATTGATAAAATAAGTTGAAGATGTTTATAAAGAAAAATAATATTTAATTTTTCTAAATGACCTTTAATAAATGAATGTTGTTGATCTTTGTTACTAGATTTTTTTTGATTGGTAAATAATGATAAATCCAATATAATAAAATCATTTGAAAAATTTTCTTTTGATATTATATATTGATAATGTGATTTAGGATAAAGATCAATAATACGAAAATCATTAAGAATTAAATGTAATAAAATTTTTATATTTGTTTGAGATAAATAACTAACCAAATTTTTTAATTGAATATAAAGTATTTGAGAAGAATTATTACCAATAATAATACATATTTCTTCCAAATGAAAATCAATTTTAAATGACGACGATGATGTTGATGGTTCGTTTTGTGAAGGAGCTGGTATAATTTTTTGTTTTTGTTGTTGTTTTGTTTGTTGATTTGATAGATGATTTAATTTATTTGTAATATTATTTGTATATTGAATTATTGATATTAATGCTTCTAATTGAACATTTAAAAGAATTGAATTTAATTCAAATTGAATATTATTTTCAATTGAATAATAGGGTGATGATGAAAATAATGGATTGGTAGCTGATGTTAATAAACAATTAATATTTAATAATTTCTTATTTTTATCACATGAAAATAAATATAATTTCTCATTATCTTTTCTTTGAAATTGTTCGTGTATTATCAATAAATCTTGTAAATTAGCATTCATTTCAATATCATAAAGTTTTTTCTTAGCTGATATATGTATTGATAATAATAATATACGTAAAAAATCTTCGGTATCATCAGATAAATCGGTTAATGCACGTTGAAATAAAATATCAATCTAATTTAAAACAAAAACACAATAATGAAGAGTTATACTCAAAAGACATTTCATGTAAATCATGACCGAATCGGTAAGGGTTGATACTTTTGATCAATGGAAAATATTCTTTTACGGCTTCTTAAAGAATGATTTATACTAGATTGAACCTTTTGTAGATTAATTATTAGTAGTCAATTAATATTATAGATTAAGGAGACTCGGTCATGATGAATATGAAATTGGTATTAAAAAAATTTCAAAGAGTACCTTGGAAATATAAAATTTGAATTTAAGTTGTACTATTTGATCAGGAGAATTTGATTTATTGAGCTCGATTTGTTTTTCTTCTTCTTCAATTTGTTCATATAAAATTTTTTTAACCGGTGTCATTTTTTCAATTGTTTCATATGTATGTTTTGTACTTGGAGGATGTTCTTTATTTTTTAATAATAAGTTCTATTTAGATTATTTAAATATATTTAGATTTAAGAAGTATTTTAAACTAACCAATTCAACTTCTTTTTCATCTCTTTGACCTATTTCAGGAGTTGGAATTGTATAAATTACTTGTAAAAGTCCAAATAAACGTGTATCAGATATATGTGATTCAATTGTTGATACTTCGGCATTACCTTTCCAACTAAAAATAAACAATAATGTTTTCTTTCCGAATATACTATTTCATGAAAAAAAGAAATTCATCATTATAAAGAGATGTGAGTGTATAAATTTAGTGCGATAGACTAAATGTGAATATCATCTGGATATAATATCTAGATACTGGAAAAATATTAAGAAATAACTTAAAAGCTAAAATTATGCAAGGAATTACGTGAAAATTACTGAAGGTGTGGGTTAGAGTGCGGCATCGGGATTAAGTATTCTCAGAATAGAGATTCCAGCTTAGTTCGTGGGTACTTATGAAGATGTACGATGAATAGAGAATAAAATTCTCTATCAGGCTATCGTATTTTCAGATTTCATTCAAGATGTATGAAGGAGAAATACCAACGGGATTAGAAAAATCCTGATTTTTTCAAGTTTTTAAATCCCGTTGGTATTTGTCCTGCGATAACATCTAGAGCCAGATGTGAAAATACAATGGTGTGATGAAGAATTTCATTCTTTACTCATCGAACATCTTCAACAGAACCCAAGAATTAAACTGAAGTCTCTATTTTGAAAATACTCAATCCCGATGCCGCTCCCTAGTGTGGGTGTATACTTCCCATACCCATACTCTCCAAGCTTTGCACCGACAGGACAAAAATCATACTAATACCTGTTTATAAGTCTCTATCCTTTTAAATATTATTGAGATATTTCAAAAATGATTGTAAACAACATACATAGGTATTTTTGTATCATCAATATGAATTGATTTGAAAAAATCTAATGTTAATGTTATTGGTTTTATTAAATGTGATGGTGAATCTTGTTTCAATCGTAATTCATTCCAATTTTCTTCTAAAAAAAATTCATAATAATAATATAACTAATAGACAAATTCTACCTTTATTAAGATAGAGTAATTGAATATTTTCTAATTGAATTTTGATTGGAATATAATCTGCATCATTTCCATCATCGATCGTACTCTTAAAGACGAGAAAAAAAACGATATGGTGAATTATATGAAAAAAAACAAATACTTTTGCATCATAAAAAACATCTTTTTGTGGTTGACTTTCAATATTTGTTTGTCCACCTTTAAATATTAGATTACCAAGATCCAAACAAACCATTGAAGAAGAACTAAAATTTATATAAAAAATAAAATCAAATAAAAATAATTTCTAACTCTGTATAATATCCATATTCCGGTACAATAACATAAATCGATTGTAATTCAATATTGATATCTAAATCTTTGATTTTTTTAAGACTTTCACTTAATAAAAATTTTGTTCGTTCATTCATATCTTGAAAAATTGAATAAGCAGCTGCTTTTATTCTATTCAATCGGAAAAAAAGATATTCATAAAGATATATAAAGAGAGGGGAAGACTTTACCCTTCTAAATCATGATGTCTATCAGGTAAAAAACAGTCAATAAGTTTGTTAATAGTTGTCTACAACAAAAAATGAAGAAATATATTTTTTTGAAAAGAAAATATTGATGTATAATACCGCATGATAATTAATTTGTAAAGATTGTGTACTTCCATGAATTCTATAATCACAATTTTGATTTAATGGATTACTTTCAAATTCTAAATGAAGAAATTTATGTTGTTTTAATTGTGGTTGATTAAATGGTTGAAGGAGAACTGGACGCGACAGATTTAATTCTCCATTTTCGTTTGTATCAGAATTAATTCCAACCATTTCTAATGAATCCAAATCAACTATGAATCTTTTTTTTGAATAAAAAACAATCAAAAGTAATTTTTCAATTTTTTAACAAAAAAAGATAACTCATACAGAATATCATCTTTGGCTGGACGACGTTGAAAGGTTAATTCTGTATTTGGTACTGAAGCACGAGCAATGACTTTGAAACTAATAAAATAAATTAAATTCAGACTTTCTCTAATAAAAATCTGTTCCCGATTCTGATCACTAAATTTCGATGGAAACTTTTCGAAAAAATTTATCAGTGTTCGATGAGGTGCAAATCATGAAATCGAAAAATTTAACATTTTAGAGACGAAAAGTTAGTTTTAAAAAATTAATTTACTTACTGTGAATCATCTACATGAATCGAAGACCAAACATTTATTTCAATTAAGTTCAATCGAAGTGATATATCCATATCAATATACTATAAAATAAAAACATATTAATATAAATAAAATCAAAATTTTGTTTAAAACTTCTTCTGGATAAATTAATGGTTCAGTAGATTCTTTATCTTTATAACCAATTGCTTCATAAAGCTTATTTCTTTCTTCTAATGATGCTGAATCATTTAACGTAAATTCTAAAATTAAATTTAATTTTTCTATTTAAATTTATTTTTATTAAATAATAAAACCTGGATTATTTTCATTCGAATTTGAATACCACCAGTTGTTTAATTTTTCCCACCAGGATGTATCTTTTTCTTCAATTTTCTTTTTGGTATACTAAATTAAATTAAAATAATCATTATACTGTTCTATTTAAGTCGCTTATGAAACATAGTTGTTCGGACTAATTCTTGTTTCGAATAGAACTCAATGAACTCTATCAAATAGTCTCGATATATATTGCATATCTCAAAACTATGTGTTCAAAAAGTGTAAAATATTGATTCTTCACGCGATACAATGAAACTAGATTTGCTTGTCAATGACCCTCGGAGTATGGTTCAAGCGTAACCCAACGAGTTCTATTCACAGGGATGGCGCGACCGAGGGGGTGTCGGGGGTATGACACCCCCCTCCCCCCACAAATCTTCGAAAATTTCTGTTCTTGCTCAACAAAATTGGCAAATCTCCTTAGATTTTTTACCAAAGATAATGATACACCCCCCAAAAATTCAAAAAAACTTCATTACACCCTCCCCACTATGTTGGCTGACTCGCGCCACCCCTGTCTATTCAATGGTATGCTTGGATTCTTAATAGGTGAAACTATAAGTGTTAGATTTTGTCTAGGGCTGTCTATCAGTTCAGAGCTCGTACATTGAGCATACTATTGCATAGCACTTGTCCAGTAGTGCTTTTAAATGCGTCCCAGACACATAGCAGATGAAATTTTTGAGATCATAGCTTGAACTACGCAAAAAGTAATTGAAATATTCGAGAGGGTTTATCGAAATCGTCTCAAAATGCGAATAAGATATTTAGGATATGATGAACACACTATTATTTCTTTTGGATTAAGGCCAAGGAGTAAAGGATTAAGAAAAGAAATTCTTTACTTCAATTTGAGCAGTTCGACGAATATAAAGTAAATTGAAAGCATCAATTTGTTTTTCTAATTCCTATGTATAATAAAAATAAATATAAATAAATCTTAATATATTTTAAAATACTTGAGTTCGTTTATCAGGTTTAGATGAATGATTAATTAATTGTTGAAAATAAAGTTCATGATATTCTTTATGTCTATTTAAATTTTCTTTAACATTTTCCCATTTAAATGATGCTAAATGTGGTCGAACTTGTTCATTTAAAATAACTGTATATGCAAATTTCCATCTAAATATATATACATATATATATTATTTTTATTTTTCAAAATCTCACCGTCGTAGACTCGCGTTTTTGTATTGAGTATCATTAAGAATCTTATGATATTTTATATATTTTGTTTTCATATTAAGATAATCTTCAAATTCAAGTAAATCAAGTAAATCTGCATACTAATATTTCAAAGAAATAAAAATAAATATCTTTTATATTTTTATTACTTGATTTCGATTTATATTTAAATTAATATCTTCAAAATCAATTTGTGCAACAAGAACAGCTTCTTGAAAATTTTGTTCATAAGCTGTTTTAGCAATTTTTAATTTCGCTCGAGCATTTAATGGTTGCAGAACTAAATATTCAAAATAATAAACTATTCGATAAAAATCTAATAAAAATACAAACTGTAATTCATTTTTTCGTATTTAAGATGTTTATCTGATTTTAAATCATCCTAATATATACATAAAAATATATAAAGATTATTAATAAATAAAATCCATACAATAATTTCTTCATTAGACAAATCTAATCTTGATTTAATATTTGAATTCCAATAAGCCGTTAAACTATTTATTTCTGCATACTAAAATAATAAAAAGGAAAATTGTGTTGGATTTTTTTGAAAAGAAAATTTTTAACTTTATATATAGTATTTGAATCTTCTTTGATTTCGACATTTTCCCATTCATTATTTGTTGACTATTTATATTAAATAAAATATAATATTTTATCGAAATAAGAATATATAGACAAGATTTTTACATTAAGTTTAATATAGTTAAGTGTAATTCCAAATTGATATGGATATAATTTGGTTGTTTTATCATCGAAAGCAATATGAATATTTTTAATTGATATTTCAACATTTCGAAGAATATGAAATTGTAAACGTTCAAAAAATGTATCTTTATGATGAGGTGTTTGTTTGCTATTCTCTTGAAAGAAATGAAAAGGTTTCATTGAACCATATAAAAAAAGAAAGTAAACAAACCATACTAGAGGTTGTTTGAAAATCGCATGATTACTTAGAGAGCACAAGTTTTCTCAACAGTTTTACACGTAGAAAAAGGTAATTAGTATTTCATATGATAGTGTTTTATTTTTCGTTTACTATCTACTTGTAGAAAGGAGTTGTTAGATTGATTAAATACGAAATATAAATATCATGAAAAAGCTTTTGAATCTGTAATATGCCCAAGGGGTATACAACAGAGACTTCATGCATGAAGTCTCATGAAGTCTTATTAAGTCTATAAAGTCTCTTGAAGTCTTGTAACGTCTCATGAAATCTTTGAAGTCTACAGAAGTCCCTGAAATCTTATGAAGTCTTCTAGAATTTTTATAGATACAGGTAATAGACGAGGAGACGAGGGGGAAACAACAGAGACTTCATGCATGAAGTCTCATGAAGTCTTGGAAGTCTTTTGAAATCATAAGGAGTCTTTTGAAATCTGTGAAGTCCATTGAAGTCTCTTGTAGTTTTTTGAAGTCTTTAGAAGTCATCTGAAATCTTTGAAATCTTTTGAAGTCTATCGAAGTCTTGAAGTCCGCTGTTACCCCCTTGAATATGCCTATTAAAGAATATGGTGTTCGTCCAGCAAAATATACAGTACTGGAAAAGACACTCCAACAAAATATTATAATAGCGAAAAGTAATATTGCACAAGACTTTTCAGGAAATGTTTTTTTTCTTAAAACAATGTTCGATTGTTTATATGGAATTGTCATGAATATGTGTGGATCGGAGATATATGAAAGATTTACAAACACATCTCTCTTCAAAATGATATCATTTGATAGGGAGAGCTATAAAAGATTCGTTAAGTGAAATGAGCAGTAGATTGATTAAGAACATGTTTCATCTTCCATACTCTTGTTCCAATTAAAACTCAATAGATTCTACGGAATAGTATGCTCTACTCACATCCATTAAGAATGCCACATCTATTTGAAAGATGTTGACGATAATAATATATCAATGATACTAATTTATTTGAAAAAAATATTTTCAGATCAAATTTTACCTCTTATAACAAGTTGAAAATTAAAATAGAATTATTTAACTATCTTAAGTGTGTATATTACGTATAAATAAATGATAAATGAAAATAAAAAGTAAGTCTCAATGTTGTGCTTACTTGTTAATTAGAAAACATCAAAATTTTATGCTAGAATAGATCATTAGAGAATGTTCATTGAAAAATCACTCATTTTCATTACTGGTTGGTAAGCTCAGATTGTAGTTCAGATGACTGAAAATATCGCTTCCAATATTTTTGATTTCAAAACTAAAGACACTCTAATAGTAAAACAAAAAGTTTTTTAATAGGTGGAAGTGTTATCCTCAAAATAACGTAAAATGGACCAAACGCATCGGCATCAAAAACTGAATTGTTTAAACAGATCAGACAACATCTTTAACAGTTAATCGAATTCCAACTGGAACTATACTTGATGAAAATATTTGAACAAGAAACTATTATAATATTCTTAATCACATATTCTCTCTGACAGGTCGAAGAAAGAGGAAGTACAAAAGATGTTTATGTGATTTTCGAACAATCTTTTGTTCTCTTTCGTAACGAAATTGTTCAACTTTCTTAACTTCTGCCATTTTTGTTTCATATTCAATTTGTTCAGCTTTTTCAGGATCATAAACAACATCTATTCATATAAATAATTTACAAAAGCAAATTTTTTTAATCTAATAAAATAAACCCGTTTTTGGTGCAACAAGTAAAAAGAAACCATCGATCTCAATTTTCGTTGGATGTGTGTATAAATATTTCCATGGTATATGAATTTTTAATTTCTCTAAAAGTAAAAAAATAATTTTTTACTAATTGTCATTATTAATTTAAATATATATACCAAGATAACCAGTTATTATTTCAAGTGGAACATTGAAATCATTCTATTTAAAAGGAAAAATTAGTTTTGATTTAGATTAAAATGTATATATATATATTTACAAGTGCATTTGTTTTTAAATGAACATTTTCAAGAGTAATATTACCTAAATTAAATAACATTAATTCGATTTCAATTAATACACATATGTATATTACCATCCCATAAATTTATTTTCAATTGATGTGAATCGAAATCTTCGATATAATTTCCCAAAAATTTGTCAATAAAAAAAGCAGCCAAATGCGCAAAAACCATTTTTTTAAATTTGTTACAAAATAAATATTCAACAATTTAAGAAGAAATTTTCAGCATTTTTTTTCTCTAAAACACATGATCTATATCGTTTTATTGTTGTTTATCCTATTTTATTGCTACAGAAATTTAAAATTTTATTAATTTATTAAATCATAAAAATTTTTACATTGAAAGTGAACCCAATGAAAATAATTTTTTTTGAAAGATAGATGTCGCATTCTAATTAATGATTTCTGCTTTATCTATTGATATCATCAAAGAAAATTAAAAACTATTGTTAGAAAAATGAATGGATTTAGTTTTATATAAATAGTTTTACTGAATAAATAAAGCTTATCAATTCTGGTAACTAAGGGTGTATCATCAAACTAAGCATACAATGAAATTTTATCAATTAAAACTTGAAATTACGTATAAATTGTTTTACCTTGAAATTTAATAGTAAGCATTAATCAAAAATCTTCAAGCTTAAAATTAAATTTATTAGTTTATTCTTCTGATTGCAACAGTTTAAAGGAGTCCAATAAATTAAGCAAAAACAAAAAAGTCACTATAGAGGTACATAAGCCCACGTCATGGAGAGTCAATTAGGTATCTTATACCTGAGAGGAAAAAAAACTTTTTATCGAACCTGTAAAAATTCGGTCTCTCGATATACAGAATAAAGGTCGTGAGTGTGAAAGAAATAAAATAAGTACGTCTACACCATCAAGATATTGCTGAATGCTATTTCATATTGATGACCTTGAAGTATAATTGAGATTTTCATCGTATACTTTTTTCATTTATC